ACTGAACATTTTTTTCCTGTGTTTTGGCCATTTGTACATTTCCTTTTGAGAAGTATCTATTAATGTCCTTTGCTTACTTTTTGATGGGATTGTTTGCTTGTTTCTTGCTGATTTGTTTGAGTTCCTTGTAGATTCTGGATTAGTCTTCTGTCAGATGCTTGGTTTGTGAATATTGTCTCCCACTCTGTAGGTTGTCTATTTACTCAGCTGACTATTTCTTTTGCAGTGTAGATGCTTTTTAGTTTAATTAGGTCAATCTCTTTATTCTTGTTTTTGTTCGATTTGTTTTTGGGTTCTTGGTCATAAACTCTTTGCCTAAGCCAATGTCTAGAAGAGTTTTCCCAGCGTTGTCCTCCAGAATTTTTATGTTTCAGGTCTTAGATTTAAGTCCTTGAACAATCTTGAGTTGATTTTCATATTAGGTGAGAGATGAGGATTCAGTGGCATTCCTCTTTATGTGGCTTGCCATTAGGTATCCCAGCACCATTTGCTAAATAGAGTGTCCTTTCCCCACTTTGCTTTGTTTGCTTTGTCAAAGATCAGCTGGCTGCAAGTATCTGGCTCTATTTCTGGGTTCTCTATTCTGTTCCATTGGTGCATATTCTTATACCAGTACCATGCTGTTTTGGTAACTATTAATATAGCCTTATAGCACAGTTTGAAGCTGGGCAATGTGATGCCTCCAGATTTGTTCTTTTTGCTTAGTCTTGCTTTGGCTATGCAGATTGTTTTCGGTTTCCATATGATTTTTAGAACTGTTTTTTCTATTTCTGTCAATAATGATGACGGTATTTTGTCGGAATTGTATTAAATTTGTAGACTGCTTTTGGCAGTATGGTCATTTTCAGAATATTGATTCTACCCATCCTTGAGTATGGGATGTGTTTCCATTTGTTTGTGTCATTTACGATTTCTTTCAGCAGTGTTTTGTAGTTTTCCATGTAGAGATCGTTTGCCTCCTTGGTTATATTCCTAAGTATTTTATTATTATTATTTTTTGCAGCTGTTGTAAAAAAAGGTTGAGTTCTTGATTTGATTCTAAGCTTGGTCGCTATTGTTGCATAGCAGTGCCACTGATTTGTGTACACTGATTTTGTATCTTGAGACTTTACTGAATTCATTTCTAAAACCTAGAAGTATTCTGGGTGAGCCTTCAGGGTTTTCGAGGTATACAATCATATCCACTGGTGAATAGTGATTGTTTGACTTCCTCTTTACCAATCTGGATTCCCTTTATTTTCTTCTCTTGTCTGACTGCTCTGGCTAGGACTTCCAGCATGATGTTGAATAGCAGTGGTGAAAATGGGCATCCTTGTCTTATTATAGTTCTCAGAGAAAATGCTTTCAACTTTTTTCTATTCAGTGTAATGTTGGCTGTGGGTCTGTCTAGAGATGGCTTTTATTACCTTAAGGTATGTCCCATCTGTGCAAGTTTTGCTGAGCGTTTTAACCATAAAGGGATGGTAGATTTTGTCAAATGCTTTTTCTGCATCTATTGAGATGATCATATGATGTTTGTTTTTAATTATGTTTATGTGATATATCACATTTACCTGCACGTGTTAATTCATCCCTGCATCCCTGGTATAAAACCCACTTGATTATGCAGTATTATCTTTTTAATATGCTGTTGGATTTGGTTATTTTGTTGAGAATGTTTGCATCTATGAGCCTCAGGGATATTGGTCCATAGCTTTCTATTATAAAGCCACGTGCACATGTATGTTTATTGCAGCACTGCTCACAATAGCAAAGACTTGGAACCAACCCAAATGCCCATCAATGATGGATAAAGAAAATGTGACATATATACACCATGGAATACTATGCAGCCATAAAAAAAGAATAAGCTCATGTCCTTTGCAGGGACATGGATAAAGCTGGAAACCAACATTCTCAGCAAACTGACACAAGAATAGAAAACTAAATACCGCATGTTGAACAATGACAGAACATGGACACAGGCAGAGGAACATCAGGTATTAGGGAGTGGGGGGTAGGGGAGGGATAGGCAAGGAAAGGGGGTATAGGGGATGGATAGCCTTAGGAGAAATACCTAATGTAGATGATGTGGTGATGGGTGCAGCAAACCACCATAGTACGTATATACCTATGTAACAAACATGCACATGCTGTACATGTGCCCCAGAACTTACAGTATAAGAATAATAAAAGAAAGCTTTGAACTTTCTTTTTTTAGTAGAAGCTGTCAGTAAAATGTACCACCACCTGGTGATAGGCCATAGGCTCCTCAACCCCTCTTTGGAGCAGTTACTTTAGAAAGCTTGTAATTATTATCCTTTCTCTGTCCCTTTGCGATGTAAATCTTCTACCACCTAGTGTGTTTCCTCAAGGCTCTGGGATCAGTCTCTCTGAAGCAGATATACTCAAGGAGCCAGCTCGCTGTGGGAGGGTAAGGGCCTCACTTCCATGGGCGCCTTGTTCCAACCTGCACAACTACCTGCTGTCATAAAGACATGAACAGTTGGTTTCTTCTCCAGATAAGTGCCAATTTTCAAGCCCAGATGGTTCATTTACATGGGCCAAACCCCCCTTAATGCCCCTTGTGCCTTTCCTTTCACACACCACAGTGTTGAAAAAGTCTTCTGTCTTTTTTTGCTTTGGCGAAGGTGAGCTTGGTTTATGCTGGGCTCTCTTCCCTCTGCAGTAGTTCGTACTTAAGAAAATCTGTCTTTACTGCCTTTAAAAGTGTCTGGCTTTATTTCTCTTTGACTAAAGAAACAGTAGAAATGGTTTGAGGAAAAGGAAAGATGCAATCTTTCTGACAGCTGCAGATGTATTCCTGTACTTTTTAAGTGACAGCAGTAGTTATCAAATTGCCTATACTGTACACAATAGAGCTACGTTACAGTTTTACTTCAAATGTCAATACTTCCAATGTGCTGAAAATTATGCCCTCCTTTGTAATCATTTATGATTATAAAATTTTTAGATATCAAGTGTGTGAGAGGTAATCAGGTTATTTTAAGTTATCTCAGCTACATGAGTAACAAAGGTTCAAGCTAATGGCTTCGGAGCACTGTTTTCCTAAAGTGTGATTTTCATACCACCTGTATTGAAATTAACTAAGTGCAACCTCAAAAATGCAAATTCCTGGGCCCTCATCAGGCTTACTGACTCAATCTGTTGGGTTGGGAAATACATCAGCATTGGTGGAAAGAAACCTGTATTTTGCATGAGCATTTCCTGGTTAATTCTAATAGCAAGGGAAGTGTGTGACCCAATATTGCAGCTCTGGAGCCTTTAAGCTTCTGACTGACCCAACCAATTGGCCAATGTTGAGTTTAGGAGGTGGCTGGAGGTGGGTCTTGGGACTTGAAACAAAGGGACAGTGAGGTAGTCACTGCAAGAGTCTAGGCAGATTGGATGGGGTTTAAGAAGACAAGCAGTTTGGGTTGTAAATGACATTATGTTAAAGGACTGAAAAACACTAATATGCTGTCTCGTGCCAGCTCCTGGAGCAGCAACTCCTCTGATGTATGTCATCAGTTGCCAGTCAGTTGACACAGCAGCTTTCAAATCTTTTTGTTCAAGACTGACAGTAAGAAATATATTACGCATCCAAAGTCAATTATTATACATATATATACAGACATATCTGCATATATTAAAAGCAAACAAAAATGTCATGAAACGATATGACCCCCTACTAAGGGGAGATACATTTTGATGTTTCCTATCCTAAGACACACTCCAGTGTTCTGTTTTGCTTATGTGTCTTTAATGCTGACCAAAGTGCTCAAACTAATTAGAGGACCCACTAGTGGGTTATAACTCAGTTTTTAAAGCACCTGTAAATCTGCTCTGACGATAACAGAATGGTTTGCAGTGGCCAGCAAACACTGAAGCTAGAAAAGAGACATGAAATGGTCTCAGTTATATTTAACTAACTTTATTAAAAACAATGAATCACTTCATGTTTTGCTAAGAGCCTAACAATCATCTCTATGTGTGCTGGCACCAAATGCTGTGTGTGCTTTACTGTGTCCACGCTCCGCACCAGGCTGTGAACCCCTCTTAGTCATTCTTTCATTCTCAGTGCTTAGTATAGCATGTTAAGTGCTGTTTATAAATCATAACTATAGAATATTCTGAAATGATCCTTTAAATATGCAAATGAAAGTGAAAGTTTTAACATTTTTGCTTTAATAAAGCTAATATTCAAACACAAAAATAACCGTACCTGTCTTGTCACATTTACTTATATACTTAACATAGAATCACCATTATAATCATACTTTTTACTTAACTATCAATCGCTTATATAGTAAGAGTAATACAGGACAGAGGCCGCTTTATCTTTACCCTTTGCCTTGTACAATAACCACAAAAACAGTATTATTCTTCAGCAAAGTGTAGCTGGCCCTCTCTTTTTTACTGCTCACTTTCAGCAATGATATAAGCTAATACATTCCTACGTTTTTCAACAGCTTGAAGGTCACCTTTGTCTTCATGGAGGGGGCACGAAAAACATTAGAAATGAGAGGAAATGTGACTGCAATCAGTAAGAAATACTACTGTCTCTTGCTACTGAGCACGTACACGCTTTCACAAAATTTGAAAGCATTCATTCACATTTTCCATTAAGATATCTTCTATTGCATGCATATATGTGATATATAATGCAAATTATTATTATTAAGATCATTGAAAGTAGGTCCACTGTATTTACAGCAAAATCAAATGTTGATATAAAAATCTAGGTCTTATCCCAACACTTAAAATTGCTCAGAATCATGCGAAACCAAGAGTCGGATCGTCCAGGGCCATCTCATCCCGTCACCAGAGTGACAGGTAAACCAGACTGGTACTGATCAGCACCTGGCATACCAGGGGCCACAGGGTTGAATCAGGAGTGCTCTAACCAGCATAAAGCTTAGAACTCTCCATTTGGTGTTTGTGGGAGGCTCTGTCACTCCAACTGGCTGGATGTGAATTAGGAAGCAACAGAGCCCCAATTATTGCCAGGCATCCTCCTGCAACTACTACAGCAAAGTGCTTTGTTGTGAAACTAGCGTGACAGCAGAGAAAAGAAACGGAAAGAAACTGGGTCCGTGACAACGCCGGCTGCTGGCGTAGACAGCCCTGAAATCAGCCCCACCTCTGGACCTTTGACTTACAGGAGCCAGCAAATTTTCTGGTAAGTTAAGCCAACTTTAATTGTCTTTTTATTTATGTCTAAAAACATTCTAAAATTAATCCATATTTATAGAGTAGTGATTATAGTTCCTCATTACACTAAGGCAAAAATATAGAGTAATTTTCCCAAGGTCAAAACTTGTTAGAATCTCAGGAAGGTTTGACTGTAAACCCATCTCTTTCTACATTACCATGTTACTATTAAAATAACTTACGATGCGTCTAAGATCTATCAAAATTCAATTCAATTTAACACATTGAGCGCCTACTACATTCAAGTATAAAATTTCCCAGGTTTTCTTGTGTCCGTGTTGATTCAAAATTGTTTTCTCTGTTTTCCCCGTGAGAACTTTTGATACCTGGTGATCAAATGGTGTCAATCCCTCACAGTCTTTTTACTCACAGGGTGGCATAAAAATCCCTCATCAGACAAGACATATGGGACAAAAACTGGTTCTATAATGATTAGAGAACTCTGCGAGGAGATTGAGTGAATAAAATGTTAAATAGCTGGTAGAATTTCCTCAAAGCACATTCAGGAAAACACAATATGAAAACAAATACAGTTGGCACACATGCCCACACTGCAGTAATGAGCCCAAATCCAGGTGTTTGCTACTCAAGCCTCAGCTTGGCCCACCATCACCCCTCCCACACCAGGCTGCAAAAGCCTTTACAGTGAAAATTCTGTGGCCCTAGACTTCTGTTCCTTTCTCTAACCATCACAAAAAATGGTGATATATATAGATCATTTTGGAGACACTTTTTGGTCTCACTCTGTTGCCCAGGCTGGAGTGCAGTGGCATGATTTTGAGTCACTGCAACCGCCACCTCCTGGGCTCAAGAGATCCTCCTGCCTCAGGCTTTTAAATAGCTGGGACTCCAGGGTTTTCACCATGTTGCCCAGACTGGTCTTGAACTTCTGGCCTCAAGCAATCTGCCCACCTCAGCCTTCCAAACTGTTGAGATTATGGGTGTGAGCCACTGCACCAGCCTAAAAGTGATCTCTCTAAAACAAAAATCTGACAATGTCACCATCTGGTTGAAAACTTATGTCTAACTGATCCATTCCCAAGATAAAATCTTTAGCCAGGTATACAAGAGTTTTCACTCCTAGGCCCCTTCCTATCTTTCTGGCTTCATCCTATACTCCCATTTATTCCATATTATTTAAAATTAACTGAAGGTACTAGGTTATTTCATGTTTTTATTAAAACTGCTAAATCAGTCTGAAATGTTCTCATCTTTCCAATCTGTCCTTCTGTGATGCTCATGACAAATACCCTCATCAGTTAAGACTCAACTCCAAATACCTTTTATACTATGGGCCTTTCCTGGCTATCTCCCTGGCTCCACTGACTCTATTATTAACCATTTCTACCTTTCTGTCTCCACATCTTTCATTGAGTTATTTGTTTACCATCCTCATGTATGAAGAGATCTCCCTGTCAAGTCGGCATCCTACGATAGCTGCAATTTTACATCCTATGTGTGCTAATACTTCATGAAGCAGTAGGCACTAGCTGTGAGGAAAGGGCATGGCTGTCTATTATCAATTCCTTCACTGCAGAGGCTAGAGAATGTATTTATGAAATAGCAATTAGGAGATAAATCTGTTTATAAGTTTGAAAGGTACTTAAACGAGAGGTGGGAGCTTATATGATGAACAAAGAATGGAGGAGCAAAGGGAGTCCAAGTCACTAAAGATTTACAGTTGAGTAATAAACAGCTGCAGAGCCATGAAGCCAGCCAGAAAGAGGAGAGCACTGTAGTCGGGAGGTTATTTTCAGACTCCTTTCCCTCACTGCTTTTATCATGTTAAAATATGCTTTGGTATTTGCTGCACATAATTCTGTTTATTTATTTCTCTGTCTTCCCCAAGATTTACGCCCCCTATGAATTAGAATCCACATGTTTTGCAGGAAGGAGAGCATACTCCTTCTGGCTCATTAATGAGAGGCCTGCAAGGGCTGCAGAACACACCAACAGCTCACATCCACCAGAGTCCTCTCCAGGAGCAGAATGCATTATCATTTATGATTGTTCTGAGTACACGGTCCTTTGGCCCATTTTCAACCTCTCCTACTAAATAATTACCTTTGCCAATGTGAAATAATTTTCCAAGCACAGAGAAGGAGTTCTCAGCTTGACAATCAGTCCAGTAATCACTATCAGCCTAGATGGATTTCTACAGCCAAAATTCTCAGGCAAGAAAGGTAGTGGAAAGCAAGACTTTAGGAGTGGACCCATATGTGAATCCTGACTTTGTCAATTCTAGCTCATGAAACACAGGAGCAGTTATCTAACTTCCTTGGGAATTAAATTCTGTGTCTGTTAAAATACTGACAAATTTACATCATGGGGCTGGTGTGACAATTTGATGTTACAAGATTCTCTTCTTCCTCTTATATAATAGTATCTGGTGGGAAGGCTGGATGTGACAAGGGAGATGGAGGAAATGGTTTATCTGCTCCACTATTCAGGTGCAGCCTGAGTGACTAGGATAGACTTTTGGAGTCATTCGTTCATCTTGTTATTATTATCTGGTGATACTGACATCCCTAAATTGTCTTTTCTCCAATTCATGCCACTATTTACAAGTATTCACTGGCTTCGTGTTTTCTTTCCACATCACATGTAAACTTCTTTACTTGTCTTTTGGGGACTCTTCATAGTATATGGTCCATTTGGGCCAAACTAACTTTCCATTACTAAAGGTAAGAGTTTTTATGGGTTCATAGGCATGCTAAACACTTATGTCTTGGCTTTCCCTACATGGCTATATAAGACTACAATGACCCTTTTCTTTTCAGTTCCTAAAGCAGAAAAGTGTCATGCAATCTCATGCAATCAACATCAAATCTGGAATCAGGAGACCTGTGTTTGAAAAAGGAATTGGATATCGCCTGCTTGAATTCCGGCCAATCACCCTCTAGTTATCTGACCTTCAGACTGGAGATGATAATACTTGCTTAATAATCACCCTTACGAGATGTGTGTGAATATCAAATGAGCTCGGGTATGGGAAAATGATAATCCTCAAATTCAGGACTCACTATCATGCTATCTTGTATTCTTTGCTTTGTTTTCATGCGTGCCTGCACTGTTTTCCTAGGTTGCAAGCCCACTAGAATTAGGGACCATATCTCAAACTTCCTTTGGATTCTCAATACAGGACTAGCATCGGGTTCAGTAACAACAAAAGTAGCAGCAAGGACAATATTAACTTTTTAAAGTAGCAAATATTTATTTGAATACTTACTATGGCCCATGCATGGTTCAAATCACCACTACTACTAAGTTATTTAGGTAAGAAAACCTAATGTTTGTACTTTATAGTATAGAACTGCCTGAACTGGAAAGGGAAGATTCCAAATGTTTTAACCAACATATTAATCTGCATAAAGATAAAAGCAGGCGGGAAGAGGAGAGCAAAATGAGAAAAATAAACAGCAGGGTAAAGTCCAAGAAAAGCCAACGCACTGGAGGGGAGGTAGGTTTGTCCGAACCATGAAAATTCTACAGACAGCAGATGATATGGTTTGGTTCTGTGTTCCCACCCAAATCTCACCTTGAATTATAATCATCCCCATGTGTCAAGAGCAGGACCAGGTGAAGATAACTGAATCATGGGGCAGTTTCCCCCATACTTTTCTTGTGATGGTGAGTGAGTTCTCACAAGATCTGATGGTTTTAGAAGGGGCTTCCACCTTCGCTCGGCACTCATTCTCTCTCCTGCCACCCTGTGAAAAGGTGCCTTCCTGCATGACTGTAAGTTTCCTGAGGCTCTTCCCCAACCATGTAAAACTATGAGTCAACTAAAACTCTTTTCTTTATAAATCACCAGTCTTGGGTATTTCTTCATAGTAACATGAGAACTGATGAATACAGCAGACACTGTTGACGTTTTGAGAGCTCTAAAGTAGGGCTACAGTTAAAACCTGAAAGAGGCACTTCTTAGGATGCCCCTGAGGGGCCCCAGCAACCTTACTACATTTTTCATGTCTGTCTACTTTTCCAGTCGCCTAAAAATGTTACTTTGCACCTTATCCTTGCTTCTCTCCTCAAGTCTCCAACTGTACCACCTTTCTACTCACATTAAGCTGATTCCTTTCATTGCAATCAGAAGAGAATGTCCTTCATCTCTTGCTGCCACATCTCCTCATCTACTTGCATCTATGCCCATCAGCTTCGCATCTCTCCTGTCATTGGAGGAAACTGACAGGGTCCCAAGTTCCACCTGGATTTCAGGTCTCATCCACTCTCACGTATTACGGCAGAAACTCTCCCCTCTCCTTCATATATCATCTTCTTTTTCATTTATTATTATGTATTTTCCTTTAATAACTATTATGTTGTTTTAATCTTAAAAGATTGCTTGTCAGTGTTTGTTATTTTCCCCTGATCCTCACTTCTTAATATCATAGTGTCCAGGGTTTCATCCTCTCTCCTCCCTTCTTCTCTACCTACTTACTTCCTTGAGAAGTTTACCAAGCCTCCTAGTTGTGATTCCTCTTTAGACACTGAGAATTCCTAAATGTATTTCTAGTCCCTGCTTCTCCAATACACTCTAAATTTACATAGACAGCTGTCAACAGGTCAACTTGGATGGTCAAAAACCATATTAATCTTTTTAAAAACTACTTTGAAACAATTATAGATGCACAAAAGTTGCAAAATAGTCAGAGAGGTCCCATGTAGCTATATCTCAGCTTCTGCCACAATGACATCTTACAAAAAGCCTTAACAATTTTATTATAGCCCAACTCAAACTATCCCCAAAAGCTATTTCTTGACCTTCCATATATATTTATTATCTCTTCTTTGTACACATGGCATTTATTAATAGAATGAAATGGTACTTCTTATCTTACAGTTCATTCAGTATGCATGTATACACGCACACATATGCCTCAATAAACGATGAGCTCCTCAAATGCAAGGGCCATGGTAATCTTTTATTTGTCTTTAGCACACAGAATAGTGACTAAACGTTTCCTGAAAGTATTTGAAATAAATAAACCTTATTCAGGTCAGAATCAAAGGAATCAAACAACTAGACCAAAGCCAGAGATCAATGGGCAAAATACTTATTTAAAGATCAAATGAAATTTAAATCAACAGTTAGTGATCTTTAACCCTGAGAAAACATTATATAACATTTTATAGTTAAGTTCAGTATGATTAGAGATTAGCAACAACAATCACAACATAATTTAGTGGGGGAGAAGGCTAAAAAAATGAGTATATAACTTTCTATTAAGGAATAGAAGTTTTGCAAATGCAGTGTCTTTAAGACAAATGTGCATTAGATATATATCTTTTCTATTTAAAAACTGTGAAAAAGATCAAAAGATCTTCATTCAAAGATGTAATATATATACTAAAAATTATATAGATCAATGTAATTTAATATAGATATGTAAACCTCTGGACACTGGAAAAGCCAAATAATTACACATATATATAATTTATTTGGCTTTAAAGTAAAGGTGTTTTATCCTGAATAAAGTAATACTTATAAACAAACAAAAATATGTACGTGAATATGACAGTACACTTCACTTTGACAGAAATTTTTCAATATTTTTCCCATTTTTCCACTTTGGTCTTACTGACAGTCTTTTTATAAAGTCTTACTAAGCCTATAAAGTCTCTCAATATCTTATTATATGGGATATTTGGCTCCAAAAGATGTACTATTATAGTACATAAAATGTATAATGATTTCTGTAAAAGACAGATAACCTCTAAGGTTTTATAATTTCTTATTAGCTAGACATTCAGTTGGACATGTGTGGAAGGAACTATTTTCTCCACCTTTTGAGTTCCTACCTTGGCCTATAAAGCAGGAAGCTCCCCCCTGTGAGTCCCAAGATGTCAAGTACTCTTTACCCTCCCATTTCTGAGAAGAGGAGAAGTGGCATCTGGTATGTGAACTGGGGAGATGCAATTGATTAAAGGTGGCAAGCTCTTTCCCCATCTTTTTCAAATCTTCCAGTCTTTAAGAAGAGTATATACTCTTCTGCTATTGTTGTCCTCCCAGTGGTAAACATTTGTGGGTCAGGTCCAGACTCTTGCTGCAGAGAAGCATATCTGTCCAACATGTTCATGTGACTGTTGAGCCTCTGAGAGTGACTAGCCTGAATTGATATGTGCTGGAAAACATACTGTATTTCAAAGACTTAGTTTTTTTAAAATGCAAAATATCTTCTCATTTTTGTATTGATCACATGATAAAATAGTAATACTTAGAACAATTTCACCTATTTTGTTTGATTTTTTTAAATGTGGCTATTAGAAAATTCAGCCTCCACCTGTGGCACACATGATCATTCTCCTGGACAGCACTAATCCGGGGGCCACCTCTTTGGAACTCATGAATAGGAGGCAGCCCTTCTGAAAAAGCAGGTACGCTCTGCAGAACTGACTGTCCACGGCAGGGCTGCCTGAAGACTGAGTGCAGAGAGTAGCATGGGAGGACAAGAATAGCAGAAAACTGACATGGAAAACAAAGCCACAGTCTCCAGGCCAATTCTACCAACAATAAAGCTGATATTTTCATTTCTGTGTACCTGATTCCATTATCTCCTAACTGATTATAACTTGAGAATGGGAAATGGCAATTATTTTTTGCCTTTTCCTGATTAAAACCCAAAGATATGACAGAAATATCTCTGCTCCCCTGGAAGCAGCACAAGCACAAATTAAGTGATGAACACACAGCAAAGAAAGTGGTCTTCTCTAGGTCCTTGGGGGTTTAAGTTTCAAAAGTGTCTATAGGTTTCAGTGGAGAGTTCTGCCCTGGGTGGTTCTCAACTGAAACAAAAGTGGCACACAAGTGGGAAGCCTGCCAGGGAAGCAGGCTTCTGAGACAAGTGAGATTCCTCAGCAAAATGACAGTGACAGCCACTGGGACACTTAACTGAGAGGAACACGGGGCTTAAGTGGGAAAATAGAAATCAGGAAGGTTAGAATGACTATGGGCAGGGATATGTGAAACAGATCAGTCTCTGCCAGAGGAGGCAGAATGGATGGATGGATATATCGTCTTTCCTCCAAGGCAGACGTATACTACAGTCAACATCCTGATTGGAGACTTTTTGACATTTTAAATTAATTAATTTTTTGAGACAGGGTTGCCTAGGCTAGAGTGCAATGATGCAATCACAGCCTTGACCTCCTGGGCTCAAGCAATCCTCCTATCTCAGCTTTCCCAGTAGCTGGGACAACATATATATATATATGTCACCTAATTTTTAAATTTTCTGAAGAGATGGGGTCTCACTATGTTGCCCAGGCTGGTCCCGAACTCCTATCCTCGAGTGACTCTCCCACCTCAGCCTCCCAAAGCTCTGGGATTACAGGCATGAGCCACTGCGTCTGGCAAAAATTAATCTATTTTGAGAAATTGAAATTTTAAGACTGTCCCTTATGGACTTACAGAACATACCTTTATTAATCATATTATACTACAAACGTTTAAGAAGTTGAAATGATCTCTCATGTCAGCATCAAAGATGGCTGTGGTTTTGGAAACAATAACTTATGACACTGGTTCTCAAAGTGTGATCCACAAAGAGTCTAAGACTGTCAGAGGGTTCGCAAAGTCACAATTATTCTAATAATAATACTAAGATATTATTTACCTTATTCACTGTACTGACATTTGTACTGATGGTGAAAAAGCAATAGTGAGTGAAGCTGTGGGGACTTAGTATAAATTAAACCATACTGAGTCACTGTATTCTTCATTTTCACTTAAGAATGTTCGATGTAAAACAGTAAAAATTATTAATTTTTAAAAATCGCAACCACTAAGTGCATGTGTTTTTAATATTCTGTGAAGATATATGTACAAATAAAGTTCTTCACTGCATACAGAGGTATGATAAGGCAAATATATTCTTGCAATTATTTGAAATGTGAACTGAAGTTGCTGCTTTTTGCATGCAAGGCAACTTTTGTTTAAAAGAACCACGGATAGAAAACTACATTATTCAGACTTAGGTATTTGGCAGACATTTTCTTCAAAGTGAACAAAGTGAGACCGTGACTTCAAGAAAAACAATACACAGAATTTGTTGTCATGACAAAATTGGAACTTTCAAGCAATAATCCAAATTTTGGAAAACTTGGATCCACCACTGTAAGGCTGACAGCTTCCCAATACAGACTTACTGTCTGAGAAAAGTGCTCATATTAATGAATGAGATTTTAAAAAAATATTCGCTGATGCAATCTATCAACATTTGGATGATCTGTATAACTCAGTGAATTAATATTTCTAAATGCCTTCATGCAATTATATTACAAAATCATACCTGGGAAATAAATAAATTCAAGTGCAATCTAGACCAACAGTTTTAATGAGGCAGGGTACAAAAAGTCCAATAATATGGCTTCATATTTCACATCGAAATTAGTCTTTAAGACAATACTACATGTTGAGTTTCAGTGTAATATCAAAGAATACTCCAAATAATAGGCTATTACAATACCTCTCCCTTTTCCAAACTCTTATCTGTGTAAGGCTGGGTTTTCTTCACCTACTTCAACCAAAAAAAAAAACAGACCGAATGCAGAAACTAACATGAGAACCCCACTGTGTCCTATTCAGCCTGACATGTAAATGTAACATGGTGCTCTTTTTTCATTATTTTTTATCTTAGAGATACAGTTGTTTTTCAGTAAATATGCTATTCATGTCAACCTATTATGACTCTATTATTAGTATTTTTAAATAAATGAATAGGTTTTAAATTTTGTCTTTAACTTCTAATATAATAAATATAACCTACATAAAAACTCTTTAGGATCCTCAATAATTCTTAAGAATA